TCTACAATCCAGTCCAACTGGCTAGGCAAATGGGGTTCACTCAAGTCATTCCCTTGCCACCTTATAAATGTTATAATAGATTCTTTGACAAGCGAGTGCGGCTTATGGATGTTGAGAAATTTACAGCAATTGATAAAGCTTATGAAGCAGAAAAGGCAGTTTTTAACTTTCAAGGCCATACTAGTAAGCCTTGGTCAATAAATGAGTTTAATGCATGGTGGACAACCTATATCTCTTCTACTCGGACAAAGAATCATAAAGCCATTTGTGACATCATATTATCCTCCTTTAAGCCCTTATTTCCAACTTTAAACTTTTTCTTCCATCTTTCCTTTCATGGAAAATTGTCAACTTTCCATATACTGAAAGTTAGCTTGATAAATTTCAAATGGAGAAGAAAAAATACCCGAAGAAAGTAATGAAGATGAAGGTGAAGATAAAACCACTGCTATACCTAACAAGGTTGAGGGCCTGGCCGAAAGTAGTGGTGTAAGTCGTGAAGGTCTTCCTTCAAGTGATGAAGAAGAAGAAGAAGAAGTGGAAGTATTGGAAGAATGAAAGGATGCTTTGTATAAAGCAAAGGGAAAAGAAAAAGTTTCTCAAGTATTTTCAATATGGCTAGACTTAACTTTTCCAAGTTATGGATTTTACTCATACTTCCTTCTACAGGAACTGGCTATAGTGAAGAAAGAATTTCAATCCCAACTCTCCTCCTCTGATGAAGATTATTCTGATGATAATGGTATTTCCAAAAGGTAGCTCCCCTACTCAGCACTCTAGCAAGACACTCACAAAGCGTAGCCCCTCTGGAAAGATTGTTGGGAAGTCAAAAAGTGAAGAAATTAAAACCCTCCAAGGGGATTATTTTGGTAAGTCTCTATCTCTGTTTCTTTTCAATTTTTCATTTCTTGAAGTGCTTATAATTTCCTTTCAAATTTGACCAATAGGGCTCCTCCATGGGACATAATCTTCTCAAATATTCAATCAGATCTACAAGCTGCTCAAGGGGAGGATTTAGCCCTTCAAGCCTCCATTATGGAAAGTCTAGCCAGCAGAGTGGAAAAAGTGTGCCCATTCTAACTCCCACTGTTGGAACTTCTATTCCTTCTGGTACCGTTGGAACTTCTATAGGCCCTACTCCTTCCATCCTAGAGGCAAGTCTTTATGCTTTTAAACTTTTCCTTTTATCCTTCTTTTTGTCTAATAAACAAAATTTGTCTTTCCTTTAGGCTACCCCTTCTTTGTCCGCATCAACATCTTTCATGGTGTATAGAAGAGCCCTTCCAGCATTGGCCAATCTATACAAGGTGATCAAAGCAACTAATCTTCAAGTACTTCAACATCAAGTAACAACGTACTCATGCTTCCGGATCCTTTAGAGGAATCTATTACGGCGGCCAAAGAAAAATTGTTGTCTTATCTTACTCATAATGTAGAAAATGTTGTATCTTTTCATCAGAACTTGGCCAGCACTGTAGTTACTCTCAAGAAACACTCTGGATTTCCTGAACGTACCCAAGCTTCTTTGAACAAATTGTAGCATCAACTTTAATTTCTTGTTTCTTATGTGAATTCCAGTTATTCCTCCCTCTCGAAATATAAGAGAAAGGCTAAACTTAGAGATAAAGTTTTTGAAAGCTTTTATCTTGCTTTAGAGCCTTATCCAGAAATTAAGGAGTAAGTTGAGAAGCTTACGGCCAAAAAAAAAAGGAATTGACTGAAGAGTTGAATCGAATCCAAAAGGAACTAGAATAGGTGGAACATGAGGAGTTTGAGTTGGACCAAACTGCTAGTGCCATACTCAACGAATCTGAGCCTCATAGGAAGGAATGGGAAAGTCTGGTCATTAACTTCCCTCAACTTGAAGAGGCAAAGGCTAAAGCATTGGCTACTCTTGAAGAAGCAAGGAAGTTTTGGATGGAACTTGGAAGCGATCTTACCTCCATTTGATGTGGTTCTTTTATGATACTTTACATGGTTATTTTTGGAAAAAACTTTTGGTTTTTTGGATAATGGTAGGAAATAAGTAAGTTACTTTTGAAATCATTTGTATGGCCAGCTTTTAGAGTTAGCGGCCATTTTTAGGACATGTAATGAAATCAAGTATCTAATGGAAGTAATGTTTATTTCTAACTTCTTTTATATGTGCCTCTTGTATATTTTTATGAAAATTTTCTAAGTCATTGAAACTGTAAAAATTTTTCACATATATTAAAAATAAGGCCTAGCCATAAAATGACTTTCCATAATAAAGGAATTCAAAAAATAAACGGAATTGCTAACATAGAAATGCATATATATACAAGCAAGATGAGTAATTTTTAGTATAAATAGAACCTGGACCATGTAGTGTAGCCTCTTCTCAATGGAATGTTCCACACTTAGGAAATTAGTTGATCTTGGAAATACAGCTAAGTCTGCTTCGTGGCTCTGGCCAATGTACCTTTTCAAGTACTTAGCCTTTCCTCCTTGAAATAAATTCTTCATATGTTTTGACTTAATTATTGGAATGGCCAATGTATAACCATTATGCTTCCTTTCTAGCTTTCTGGTTTACTTGGAAAGGAAGCTACCAACCATTTTATGTGGCCGGTTGAAGGATTGTGGCTTTCTAGTCTTCATAGATGGAAGGATGATACTCTTTCAAGTATACCCCATTCACAGGATGTTTGTGGGATCCTCTATCTATGTCCATCAATCTATAAGCCCATTTTCCAAGGACTCATTCCACCAAGTAAGGCCATCCCAATTAGGGTCCATTTTCCATATTCCTTGTCTTTGAAACTAGGTGAAAATTTGACTTACCATGCCAAATCTCCTTTAACAAATGACTTTGCCTTTACCTTCTTGTTATATGCTCTCATTACTTTCTTCTTTTAAGCAATAACATGGTCTAAAGTATTGAGACCGACCTCATCAAGGTCCTCCAATTCTACTAACATGGCATGGTTGTAATCTATCGGGGTTAGCTTATTTTGAAAAGCCACCTTTGCAGACCTAATGGTCATCTCCATTGGAAAGACGTCATCATGTCCATATGTAAGCATATATGGTGTGACAACCGTACTTGATCTTTTTGAATTACTGTAAGCCCAAAAGGCCTTAGAAAGTAGGTGATGCCATTTTTTTAGATGTTTCTCAATAATCTTCTCAAGAATGTTGAGAATTACCTTGTTGGAAGCTTCTGCTTGTCCATTTGCTTGAGCAAAATATGAAGTAGAATTGATCACTCAAACACCACATTCAGCACAGTAATCAATGACTTCATTTCCAACAAAGGAAAGGGGATGTGTACCAAATTATAACCACTCGCAATAACACGAATCTTCGCAGAATAGGGCTATATTAAGTGTGTCAAACCACAGAGGCTGTCGTAGTTTATTTAAGCATCCAATTAAGATTACTTTGATTCAAGGAGAAAGGTTTGATTGGTTTGATTCTTTGTCCCGAATATAAAAATAAAAGTAAACTAAATTAAAGATAAGATCAAAAGAGAGAAGGTTTTAGGGATTGACTTCACTACGAATCTCGTATTATGGTCAACCATTCAACCTTGGGATTTCACAATTTATGTAACAGATGAACTAAACTTAATAACATTCATTTAATTCGGGTTTAAAAAAGATGTTCCGTGAACTTCAACTGACTATAACTTATCTTTGGTAGGCATGAATTATCAACCTACCTACTTCTAACTAATGTTGCAGTATAACTCGTCTTCCCTAGGCATAGATTATGAAAACATTCATTCAGGAAAAATGTTGGAACACCATTGCATAATCTCTATCCTTACTACCGAGAAGCCCTTATGCCACCATCTCGAACATTAAGGATAGGTTGAGAACAATTTATGAATAATTAAATCCAAGTCAAGGTATTAATCACTCAAAAATCATTATTTCATTAAAACACCAATTAATTTGTAATCAATTGCTCATAATTATGCATTCAAGATACATAAATACATAAATCCCCAAAGTTAGAATGATTAAACCATAATATTCGAATTCAGTCTACATTAATGCCTTAAGAAAGGAATTAGCTACTCATGATGACGCAAGATATCATCTGTGTTATCGTGATTGACTGCAATTCTCCTCTTGGGATCTTTACATTTGAAACCCTAAAAGCTACCACCAATTAAGAGAATAATAACTAGGAAAAGTGATATGAGATCTATGGCCTTGTGCCTCCTTTTATAGAAGAATTAACTTCTAATAAGGGTTGGACAGGCTTTTAGGTCTTCTGGGGTAATTTGGGCCCATCTAGGATGAAAGATGACTTAGTTAAGACAAATCCCGCATTTGAAAAGTCTGACTAAACAGCAAGGGCTCGAGCCTAGAAGATATGGCTAGAGCCTTTTGGCTTGGGCTCGAGCCTCTTGGTATAATGCTCGAATAAAACTTCAACACTTAGTTAATTTTCTCCAAATAATTTTCGAAGCGTCTTTTTCATCAACACTTAGAATATTTTGGGGATGAATCTTCATGGTGCTCAATCACTATGTCATGGTGCTCAATCACTATTTCCTGAGGCTCGAGCCTTGGGGTCGAGCCTTTTGGTAAAGGCTCAAGATCTGGCAACTTTGGATTTCCCAAAGCGTCTTTTGGTATTCCGAGGCAGTTTTGGCTCTGTGAGGACCTGCATTTTTATCATTTTTTTGAACATTTTAGCATTCATGCAATTTTTTTTTTTTTATTGTCAAAAATATGATTAGTTTGCAAATGTGAATTAAACATCATTATGTGTTAAGAAATATTATAGACTATACTATGCAAAATAGCATAATTGGCATTTGGTTGGTTGTGAAAGGGTATTCTTGACTTTTATCATGCAAATGGCATGAATGGTATTTAGTAGGAAATAAAAGGACTTTTGAGTCATTTCTTATGATTTTGGTTTTAATCCATGGAGGGGATGACATGTGTAGGTGTATGTGGTTGCACCATATCCATTCATTTTATAACATATAGTATGCCTAATGTTTTGTTCTCAGAAACCATTTTGGCAAAACCCAATTTTCGTGCATCCTATTTCCTTTCCATAGTGATACCTTTTAAGCTAAATTTTGGAAGCTTTGTGTTGGGATTTTGATGGGGCTTTGTGAAGGAAAAATGTTCCTTAGATAGTGAGGGTTCTTTTGATATCAAACTTGAGTCCATTTCTTTTGTTGCTGGGTTTGGAAAGTGGTGTTAAAAGAAGAGGGTTTTGGTTGCAAACAAAGAAGGAAAGTGTTCTTCACCTTCTAGTTGCTGATTTTGATCCATTTTTGGTGTGGTTTTGAATTCTTGAGCAAGTGTTCAAGCTTCCCTTGAGGTAGGATTGTCTAACCCTCAATTCCTTTGCCTTTAGTGACTTATCTCTTTCAATTTGAGTTGCAAAGTGTATAAACAACCTAAACTGATGCTGAAACTGCTTGGCTGAAATTGCATGCTGCTATTTTGCTCTAATTCATATAAATTCGTAATTTATCATGCAGAGATGATTTTATATTATGATAATATAGTGAATTAGCTTTCATTGAGAATTGGTTCACATAAATTGGTTGAGAAATGAATTTACCATGAATTTTTGAAGTTAGAGGGTTCTTGCTGGGCATTCTGGGTTTGGGCAGATTCTGTCCGAGTTTTGTTCATCAAACCTGCTTTAGATGGTATGGTATTTTGATGAAATAAAATTTATCTTAAAAATATATTCTTTTAACTTTCAGTGGCCTTTGGATTCACTCCATTTGGACGAAAATTGAATTTACTATGAATTTTTGAAGATGGAAGCTACAGGCTGGAAATCAGTGTCTGACAGATTTTTATTTCGAAATTGTGGATTAAAACTGTTCCAATTGGGAAGGTATTTTGTTAAACTAAATTGACACTTTCAAAGTAAATTGTTTAAGCTTTCATTAGGCTTTGGACTCACTCAATTTGACTTAGAATTGAATTTGTTATGAATTTTCAAAGATGGAAGCTACAGGCTGGAAATCAGTTTCTGGCAGATTTTAGTTCGAACTTTTGGGTCAAAACTGTTCCAATTGGGAAGGGATTTTGTTAAACTAAATTAACACTCTCAAAGTACATTGTTTAAGCTTTCATTAGGCTTTCGAATCACTTAATTTGACTTCTAATTGAATTTGTTATGAATTTTCAAAGATGGAAGTAAAATGCTGCATGTGAACTGTTTACTGTTTAGAAACTTCGGAACATGACACAAATGTGCATTCATCTTGCATGGTCATGGGGTTAAGGTTAGAATGGAAAAAGGAAGTGAAAGTTCAATTAAATGATTTTGAAAACCGGATAACAGGGAGGTGCCTTGTATCCGTGAGTTAGGAAAGTGGGATTGATTCAATGATTTCAAAACCGGACAAGGAGTTGCCTTGTCTGTGCAGTTAATAGAAAGCTAGAGAAGACGTAGGAGTTGCCTACGCATAATTGTGTCACAAGGCCCCAAATGATTACAAGGAGTTGCCTTGGATCAGGGATAGTTGATCAATTCTCTTCTCGTGGTACTGGGAGCAGCTCTGGCCGGATTACATTAACTTTTTGTGATGGAAATTGGATTTTTGGGAAGTGGGAAGTGAGAAGTGTCTGTGACATTAGCATTAGCATCCGCATTGCATGGCACTTCATTTTATTATCCTACATGACATTATTTCTTTCCCGAGTTTTTATGATCCCATTATCCTTTATCTATTCTTTGTTTGGATTCATGGAGGTATTAAGGAGTGCGCTTTAGGCAATTCCTACTGAGCTGTGGTTGCTCATTCCTATTTTATTCACATCTTTTCAGGTTATAGCATGGATGGTGTGGAGGGTGTTCCTCCTCAGATATAGACAGAGTCGGGACTGGTGTTGTTGTGTTATATTCCGCATAATAGACTATGTTTTGTATTATATTTCCTAGAATTTTCCTGGCATGTAATAAATTTTCTTTCAAACTTTAAAACTTTAAAGTTTTAATATTTGCATCTTATCTATTAATTTTCAGTCTTGATTTTATAAAGAGAAATAGATAGGTGGATGTGTGGTTCAGACAGGTTACAGGGATATTCAGTGATTTTGAGACTGTGATTATTTGTGTGTTGTGTTCACAATCCGGACTACGGTCTAGGAGCGTGACAGGCTCGATCACTTTTACAAGGGCTCGAGCACCTTGAGTTTGGGTTCAAGCCTTAAGATCTAGGCTCGAGCCTTTTTGCCTTAATTGATTTTCTTACTTCTGTTAGATATATGTGCTCGAGCCTTAAGACCATAGGCTCGAGCTTTGGTACTTGAACTTCTCCAAAATCACCTTCTTGACCTCAGACTAGCTTGAAATGACCGACACGACTATGTAATCTTCAATGTCAATCTTTTCATCGCAAAAGCTCGGTTTTAACCATTTTTTTTAGAAAACACCTAAAAACATGAAATAAACATAAATCAGTATAAAACTGGATAGAAATATCACTTTAGATCTTAACATATGTATATTTAGGTGCTCAAATATGTAATATTCAATACTCATCACACCCTCAAACTTACATATTGCTAGTCCCTTAGTAATACAGAACTAAAAAGCCGCTTTTGTAGGAATCACGGTTGCATTTATCTTATGCAACAAGCCTTTAAACCCCTAGTGGACGAGTTGTAGTCTCGTGAGATTTCCAGTGATGGTACCACAAACATCTCAAATCAGTGCCTTAATTTCACGATAAGCTTATTTAAACCTGTTTTCATATCATAATGTCCTAGCAATGCTTCAATAAGTCAAATATAACAAGTTTAATGAACTATATTAAATAGGAAAATCTCAAACTCTCGATATCATATCAGCAGCTATGGTCCTCATATGTCAGTTTAATCACATATTTAATTATCTCGATCCCCAAAATTCTTTTAATAGTGAACTCACAATTTTAAACATGTGGCTTGCTATCCATACTTATATCTGACTCGTGTTATCCCTCAATTCACAAGTAAACCTTTAAAATTCTGATCTCCAATGTATTTTTCCTCATTTTTTATCGATATTCATTTTTTTATTTATCACTCATTTTTTTTAAGTTTTTTTTTTCTCGAAAGGGTACTGTGCAATGCTCAGGTCTATTAAGCTTTCTAAATCACTCATGTAATGAACTTTCAGCCAATGACTCCCAAACCAGATGGTTTTAGGGTATTAGGTGTCAAAACACCCCTGCGGATCTAATTGCTGAAGTAATCTAGGCAACTTAAACCACTTATGTAATGAACTTTCAGCCAATGACTCCCAAACCAGACGGTTTTGAGGTATTAAGTGTTGAAACACTCCTAAGGACTTAATTGCTCAAGCAATCTAGGTACAGACCCAAACTTGACCCTTTGATTCTCTCTTTTTTTTCTGTTTATTTCACTTCTTGGTAAAGAACTCTTTCATTCAATTTTTTATTTTTCAATCTTTTTATTATATACATACCAATTTTTTTATACCTTGGTTCTCAAAATTATCAAATTCACCTGCTCATTTCAGTTTAACACAAATCAGAATAAGATTTCAAGTCTATACCCTAGAGAATGCATGTAAATGTGATCATGTGCAAAGTGAAGTATTTTAATAATCAAAATCATCAAATTATAACTATCCTAACAAAGTGGACCACAGGCCACCAACTGATATTAAAAAAATTCAAAAATCCCTATTTAGCATGAATTCAACATATAAGCCATCTTTAAGCAATATCAGACTGCATATGGACATCATAACAATCAACAAACTCAACTTCATGCTTAAACAGTGAAATTTCATTCCCTTGTGCACAACATATTATCAACAAAAAGTTTAAAGTTATCTACCTTACCTCCAAACTTAGTGTGCACATTGTCCTCAATGTGTGAAAACAGAAGTAGAGATAGAAAGATATTACCAAATATGTAGAACTAGCAAAAATCTAGAATGCTAGCACAGAAGGGCAAAACAGACATCTCACCACCAAACTTAGTCCTTTGTACCTAGCAAAACAATCACACTCGATAGCACATATCAGAGTATCAAGTATATAGAGTAAAACAAATATATATATCAATAAGCACAAGCAGATATGACAGTAATAACAATATAAGGGTAAAATAGGCAAACACATGTATATATATGGTGAATTTCAGTACAATGCTCGTCAAGAATACCCCGCTGCTCAATCAACAGGCCTCGGATTGTGACAGCCTTAATTTTTAAACCCGGTGCGTCATTGATAACCCGAAAGGTGACCCAATAACGGATCTTGAATGTGGAAGCGAATTAAAGAAACAATGTTTCTAGGGATGTGCATCATCCCTAAGACACAAAAGTGGCTTCATATGAAGCCGTAGAATTCAAAAGAAATCAAAAGTGGAAACGAAGTTTCAAAAACGATTTAGTTTAACCTTAGGAGTAAAATGGTCATTTTACATAGAATTGTGTGCTACCGTGCACACCATTGGAAATACGGCAAAAAATAAATAAAGTTAGACTCAAGAATCGCCTGATTTGGAGTCTGGATGAAGGAGTTATGAAACCTTGAAGTTTTTAAATAAAAACGAAAAATGGCATGCTCCCAGGTCTATTTTGGAAATGCTGCGATTTGAAGACTTAAATGGATTTTTTTGGAAAAAAGCTGTGATGTAACCCCCTTTAAAATCACATTTTCTAAGTGGCCATGTCAAGGCCGAAGCTTATTTTTCAAAGAAACTACCCAAAATGCCCTTAAGATTAGATTTTGCAAAAACATGAAAATGTTGAGTCTAAAGAACATACATTCATACATTTCATCAAATATGATATTGTGTGCCAAAGTGAACATGCACGTAAATGTAATATGCATTTTTACACGTGCTACAATGGCCTATAGTCTCAATATATGTCATTTGCAAAATATCAAATATCAAACCTCAAATTTCATAAAGTTGCGTTCATAAATAATATACAAAACCAAAGAGCATAATTGTAACAAAGGACGTTTTGGCCCTTGGCCACCTACCATATATATAAAATAAGTTTCAAAAAGTGTACTTAGGTACACATTACATATCCCAAATTGAAAATGACATGTTAAACCTAGCTATACGTTACAATTTCAAAAGAAAACATATCATGCTAACACTTTGCATGTATGTGAAATTACACAAAATGGTATCCAAAATAACCATGTCAACCTAGGGATGTTGTGCATCCTAAAATAAAGTCTCCTTACCTAAAATATATTCCAAATGATTAGGGTGAGTAAGCATGTTACTCGTAGGAAAAAATGCATGCGTATACCCTAAAGTTTTAAGTGTCATTCAAATTCAATATATATCAATACAAGGGATCATTCCACCAATGTCTAAGTTGTAAGGTGAACTAAGGGAGCATCTTAAGCTACCTTAAGCAAGTAAAATGAAATACACAATATACTAGCATACTAGGCATAAGTATACTAAACAAAATTGAATTATATATAAACCATTCACTACTAGTGAACTCGACAAGCTACAACTTGTAAACGAAAACGAAATCAAAAGACGGAATGCTCGGACACCTTCGTGGATCGAACCACGCATGTAGTTATTTTGGGTACTAACCCGTTACGAACCACCTAAGTGCACACTATATGGGAGGAACTCGTATCTTCCACTCTAGAGCTGCGCTTTAGTCATTCAACGGTCGACGCCCCAAGTTTCCAAAATCAACAAGAAACGCATAACTTAAACACTTTAAGTAAAATGCATTTAAACACCTACCATGCACAACAAGTGGACCAATCATAGGCTACCAAGTGAGTGAATTCTCACCCTCCACATGTCATCATCCAAGGCTTCTAAGTGTCACCAATGAAATGACGACAAGTGGACCAATGAGAGTGTGACACTTGTCACAGTTTTTCGAAAATTGCAAAAAGTCCTTCCCCAAAATATCTTCAAAAAAATATTGCAAATAAGTCCGTAAGACAAATATCTAAAGAAAATTTAATTACATAAAACACCACGTAAAACAAAACTATTTTCGAAGAAACTATACATCCATACCCCTACGACTAAAAGTAAATAAGTAGCATGTTGTTCTAAAAAAGTAAAACTACACATTTCATGGAAATTCAAAGAAATGGATGCATACAAAGCTAGGATCAAGTCCGAGCACAAACCGTGAGGTTACGCGAAAAGAAATGATAAACAAAAAAAAAAATGACAAAAAAAATAAAAGAGAAAATGGCGCAGTCCTAATAAGGACGATACCAATCTCCCAAAAGAAAAATTATCAGGAACTATTCCCCAACACTCAAGATGACCTTGATAGGACAAAACCCGGACAAAAAAAAATGAAAACATAAACGGAAAAAAAAAAAAAAAAAAAAAAAATCAGAAAAAATAGGAAAAAGAAAGGAAGGAAATGATAGGGTTATTATAACCTACCCCCCTTAAAGAGATTTCGACCCCGAAATTAGAAACATACTGAGGAGAACCAAACTAAGACCGAACGCATGGTCAAACTGAGGAACAGATCATAAAGTGCTAAAGAACAACTCTAAAAGCCTCAAGATCAAATGAAAGGATACGAAACCATGAACCGTGAGACAATTCTCCGAACAACCGACATGAAAACCCAAGGTCACTCACCAAAAGGAATCCCCAATACAACGACACGTCAAATCAAGACCCTAACCAAAGCAACGTTGTAGTATGAACAGTGAATAGCCTCAAATGTGCAGTAGCAACAACAGCGTCTAGTGCCCACCCACACTTACTCACATTACAATGGCCTATGGCCTCAATACATGTCATTTGTAAAATATTATATATCAAACCTCAAATTTCATAAAGTTGCTTTCATAAATAATATACAAAACCAAAGAGCATAATTGTAACAAATGACGTTTTGGCCCTTGGCCCCTACTATACATATAAAATGAGTTTCAAAATTGAAAACGACATGTTAAACCTAGCTATGAGTTACAATTTCAAAAAAGAAAGCATATCATGCTAACATTTTGAATGTATGTGA